TCTTTCATATCTGCTAGGAATTATATGACAAGTAGGTGTTCTGTTTTCTAATTTTTAATGTTACGATTATTTTTGTATATTCGTTTCAGAAGATGTACAAGGTGTTTTGTGTATTTATTTTACGATAGTATCATTTATCCGGAAGAACGACTCAGTGCCGTATGAAGCTACTATAAGACAACTTCTTAATAAATATAAAAAGGATGTCATTGTATCAAATGTGACGTATGTATTTCTTTTTACTATTTGTTTCATTCAGTATTTGCGTGGGATATTCTTTCAGTAGTCCTTTTATCCTACTAATTAACGTATTTTTTTCCAGATTTGCACGTAATTTGAGTCCGTTGGGTCAATGGAAAGCGACAGCAGTGAATTTCTTCTCCCTTGATGAAGCAAGCGGGCGCCAATAAATTATTCATAAATTGTGAGTGCTGCCAGCCATGCTACTGAAGAGAGAATTTATAGATTTCTTTTTTTCGCTGCAAACAATCTCCAATTACATTGAACAAAAACAAGGGATGGGACTGACATAGGTTTCATTCTAAATGCCACTACTGCGCTTCGTTTCTCGTGATAAAAGCTGAACTTCCACAATTTTTGTGATGGGGTTTTTTTTTCCTCGCATATTGGTATGATGTTTGATATTCTCTGTTCATCTGGTTTTGAACCGTTGCTCTTTTAAACTCATAAAGAAATGGGTTTTAGAACAGCTATTTTGTCTTTACTTGATAGACTAAAGCAGAATTAGTGGACAGTAATTACTGAAGAATATGTCTTATTGTTTTTTATTCTAGAAACAGGCAAATATTCTAGCACTCTGTTCATTTCACTTTCATGTTTTCATGTTGACGTCATTTCTCTTCATGTTGATCTCTCTAATCTCCTTGATATCCCTTCATGTTTTTACTTTTTCGAATAATTCTTGCGCTCAGAGCTGAGCTTATCCCTCCTACCTACATTCCTTAATTATTGCTGTTTCTCAGCTGAAGAACTTTGCGGTGTATAGGCACTTCAATGCTTGAAGTAGCGCATTGGGTAGACATACGCTTCCTTTATTGAGAAC